ATTTGTGCATATGATTGCTTGAAGCGTCCAGAGATTGAACGCTGCACTTTATCGGAGTGCTGTTTGTACATCGGGCACTCCTGCAAGGGGTGAGGATTCTCGCCACAATATGCGCATTTTACTGATTCTTTGTGGCAAGAATCCTCTTTGTGGTTTTCACCACATTTGCCACAACGAGTTTTGTTGCCGCAATGGCTGGCTGAGTGTCCCAGCCTTTTGCAGTTGGTACAATTATATACCCTCTGTACAAACAGCCGCACTGGAAAAAAAGCACCATCAACTTTGACAAAGTTTGGGAGAACTGAACCAGCGAAAGTCACCCGAAACGAGTCTGAATGCTGATAAACTTTTTTGCCATTTTGCAAAGATACTGAATGCAGTTGCCTGACATCCAGTATCTGTATCTGATCTCCGATTTTTTGAGTTTTGAAGCAACCCGAGGCTCGTTTTAAGTCCACGACACTCAGACTCGCGTCGGAGACCTTACCTTCTATCTCCACATCTCGAGAAGGGATGTAGATGTTATACTCAACACTAAGCAGCTCATGTTCAGCAATTTTATTTGCCACATCATAAGTCGGTGCTTCTACATCTCTCCTCATGTACCAATATTCCCGGATACTTCCGCAGCAAGTCTTTCGAAATGTCGAGAGTTTTCAAAGGTTTATTTTTAGGCAGAAAAAAGACAACCCATGGTCCTTTCGAAGACGGTTGGTAGTATCTAGTTCGCGCAACGTAGGTATCCGAAGACGCCATGAGTGTTGCGTAAAAGCGGTGCACAACCGCTTAAAAAGGAAAGAAAAAAAAAAGATAAATTTAAAAAAAGACCTTCACCAGTTAATACTTAACTACAAGTTGTTAATATTTTGTTGCCCAGTGTATGAACAACCAAGCGAAAAAAAAAACAAAATTATCAAAAAAAAAAAAACTTTTCACTAGTTGCAAAAAGTTGCACCACTATAGCCCTCACAACCCTATCAGGGGAGAGGGCAAAGCCACGCACAAAATTTTATAACAAAAGCGCGGCAATGGGCTAGAGAAGACTATTGTATAGTATACTTAACACCGGCCGGTGCCGGCTGTGTGAGCTGGTGCAGCCACTCCGTTTGCTGCTTTGTTGTTGTTGCTTGCTGCTTTGGAGTGGTGATGAGACGATGACGGTGAGATGATAGTCCACCTATAGCGTCGCTAAAGGTGGCTACTTCCTCTGCTGACTGCGGTTGCCTTGAGCACTGAACTTCGAACACGGTAGGTAAAACGCGCGATATAAAAAAACCACTATGGTGGGAAAAAAAAACTCCACCGGCTACGAAACCAATACCCGCAACAGAGACACGAACAAACTACGTCCGGCTACTCAAGCTATCGGCGAGGAATGGAGCGACTGTCTTGCGTTGCTTTCAACTGAAATTCAACTGACCTATGCGCAAAAACAGCAAATGGGTTCAGTTTTCTTGGACATTAAGGGGGCTTTTGATTCTGTTTGTATCGATGTCCTTTCGAATAAACTCCACGATAGTGGGCTTTCACCAATTATGAACAACTATTTGAGCAACTTGTTGTCTGAGAAATATATGAGCTTTTCTCATGGAAACTCGACAACTTCACTAATTAGTTACATGGGTCTCCCCCAGGGTTCATGTTTAAGCCCCCTTCTTTATAACTTTTATGTTAAAGACATTGATGGTTGTCTTGATGAAAATTGCTCGCTAAGGAAGCTTGCAGATGACGGGGTTGTGTCCGTTATAGGGCCAAGTGCACCGGACCTGCAAGGACCATTGCAAGATACCTTAGACAATTTGTCTACTTGGGCTATGAAGCCTGGTATCGAATTCTCTCCGGAGAAAACTGAGTTGGTTGTTTTTTCTAGGAAGCATCATCCTGCACAGTTACAGCTTCAACTATAGGGTAGAACAATCACTCAAAGTATATCTTTCAATTATTTAGGTGTCTGGTTCGATTCCAAAATCACGTGGGGAAAACATATTGCGTATGTGAAACAAAAATGCCAACAAAGAATCAATTTTCTTCGTACAATTACTGGAACTTGGTGGGGAGCACACCCGGAAGATCTGATCAGGTTGTATCGAACAACCATCTTGTCGGTTCTAGAGTACGGTAGCTTCTGCTTTCAATCCGCGGCGAAAACACATATCTAGAAGCTGCAACGGGTTCAATACCGTTGCCTCGGAATCGCGCTTGGCTGTATGCACTCGACGTATACGATGAGCCTCGAAGTACTCGCGGGTGTTCTCCCACTGACAGATCGTTTCGCGGAACTGTCCTTCCGGTTTCTTATCTGTTGTGAAGTAATGAACCGATTGGTAATAGAAAACTTTGAGAAGCTGCTCGACAGAAATCCTCAAACAAGATTTATGAGTTTGTACTACGAGTACATGACGCTGGAGCAATTCCACTCGTGTTTGCCTCCAAGACTTTTACAGTTCCTCTGTAAATTTTGATCGGACCATGTTGCAAGAAATCCATGGAATACCAGATCACCATCGGTCGATGGTTGTTCCCTTAATTTTTGCAAACAAGTACCACCATGCTAGTAACAATAAGAGTTTTTTCACAGATGGGTCAACTATAAACGCTTCCACTGGATTTGGAGTATTCAACGAATTTCATAGCGCCTCATATCAACTGCAAAAACCCTGTTCCGTATACATTGCGCAGTAGAGCAAATTGCCTCAGCTCGTTGGAGGCTATTCGATCAATGAGGCCGATGAAGCACTCCTCGTATTTCCTGACCGAAATCCGAGCTAAATTGAGTACTTTATCTAACTGCTCCTATACTATCACCTTAGCGTGAGTCCCATCTCATTGCTCAATTCCGGGTAATGAGAAAGCGGTCTCGCTAGCTAAAGTGGGCGCTATGGAAGGCGATATTTTTGATCGACAAATCGCCTTTGCGGAATTTTTTCTATTACCCGTCAGCACGTCCTCACCAACTGGCAACAAAAATGGAATGAGAGTGATCTGGGAAGATGGTTACATTCTATTCTCCCACAGGTATCGAACAAGCCGTGGTTCAAAGGATTGGACTTGAGCCGTGACTTTATACGTGTCATGTCAAGGCTCATGTCCAATGACTACTCGTTAGACTCGCATTTCTTCCGAATCGGGCTCGCAGGCAGCAATTTGTGCGCTTGTGGTAGTGGCTATCACGATATCGACCACGTGCTTTGGTCATGCACCCTCCATTGTGTTGCTAGATCCGAGTTATCCGCATCCCTCAGGGCCCGAGGAAAACAACCTATGCGGCCCCTTAGAGACATCTTGGCGAGCCAAGATCTCGACTATTGCAATTTAATTTATGTGTTTTTAAAACGGATAGATCTGAGGATTTAGTAGTTAGTGTCATCTTGTGTTCTCCCAAGTTGTTAGCTGCCCATCGGTGTACCCCCATGTTTGTCTTTTTCATTAGATTGTCGCCTAGTTCGAGATCAAGAGCATATTGCTCTCCAAACCTTGTGTTCTCAATCCCTACCCTGCCATCCATTTGTTACAATTTGTTACCCCTAACCTCGAGATAGCCGCGAGTAATCGGCCCCCGTTTTACTAACGTTAGTTTTAAGTAATTTTGTAACGTAAACAATGAACATCGGCTCCGCAAAGCTACGGCAAATGAGCCTGGAAAAATAAACGCATTATAAAAAAAATAACAATGTTCATCACTTACTCACACATGAAATCTGCCTCGAGCAACCAGGCAGAACGCGCCCTAACCCTCACTGAACCAAAGGGCAGGGAAGGCCATCCAATATTACATATCTGCCAATATCTCAGGAGTTTTGCATTAAAATTATTCTGAGGAACCATATTGTCGCCACCTAGCTGAAGTGCAACCTCTGCATAAAAATTAATTTGTTGTTTTTACCAATAATTACACGTCGCATCCAGAGCATTATTTGTCTCGTACCTATGTCCACTCAGCTGTTTGTAGTCCAAAGTCGAATGTGTTCTGTTTTTTTGGGATATCGACCCTCGTGGCTCTGCAGTAGCTCTATTGTCCTGATACCTACTGTTTTACGTTGCACAATGTTCACAGTGTTTGCGAACAAATTTACATCCACCGATGCAATATTGCATCAGTTTCATGCAACTACACCAATATTTGGTACATCGGTGTGAATAACGTCTGACGAGAGCATACTTTTTTGTTGTGTACCTTTCGTAGAACAAAAACTTAGTAATATTTGTGGGTACACATTTTGATTCTATTCATGATTCTAACTGTAAACAAATTTTGATTACTGTCAAAAATTTATTAGCTTACAGCATATTTTTCACAGTTGTCAAATTTTGAACCTTATAAAAGGTGACTTACATGATATTCTTCGGTTCACAGCAAAAAAAAAAATATTTTAGTATCTCATCAAAATGGATGCACTTCAATCGTGTTGAAAATATGATGTAATATTACTTGCCAAAAAGAATAAAATTATCATTGATACAGTACATGAACTGAAATTCCGCTGCTTTAACTGCATTTGTTTATTTTTGTGGCCATAAAAATTACATGAGATTTTCGACATGATTGAAGTGCATCCTCTTGGATGTAATTTTAAAATTTATTTTTTGTTGTGTTGACATTTTTTGACGATTTCCGGGTAATCATAGACTATTGAAGAAAAGAGACCTACTACTATATTTTTCAAATAGTTTAAATATTATAGCACTTTGAATCGAAGAGTGCATACTTCGTGCGAAGTTTATAGATAAAACTTTGATTTAAAAGTAGTTACGGAATTTGTTTTTGTGTCAATAGAGCTATTTAAAGCTTGAAATCACTCAAAAATTATAACATTGATAGCCTTGTTATCTTCTAAGATTGTATTGCAAATTTTCACAGATGCTTATTTTGACATAAGATAATAATTGTTCCTTTTTCCTAAAAGACTGCATAGAATATGGAAATGTTGAATTCCTTGAAATGAAAATTCTCTCCATAAATGACATTCGTTATATCATACCTTTCTTTTTATTTTTTATAGGTGCGGCTTGTAGTGTTTCGACCGAACACAGCGGAAACTGAAAAAGTAGAAATTGAATTACTCAAAAAAGCTGGAAAACTACTTGGTGTAGGATTTCGAACAAATCATCCAAATGGAATAGTAGTTACTGATATGGTAAGCAATTATTTGAAGGAAAACAACCTGAATTCATTCACATATTAGGCTACGTGCACAAATTACGTAACGCATAACAGGGGAGGTTGAACTTGCATTACTTATTGTTATACGGGGGTGAGGAAGGAGCAATGGATAATGATACGTAACTGATTGACCAAACTAAAAAAAAAAAAAAAAAACAAATCAAAAACGAAAAAAAAAAATTATTAGCTGTTAAATATATCCACGTGCTCCTAGCATGAATGCTTTGTTTTCTTGAAGAAGAGGGAGTGAGTTAGTGTTAATTTTTGGATGAGGTTCTTGCTAAGCGCTACTTATTGTTAGGGGGGTTAGTCAAAAAATGTTTCACTACGTGATTTGTGTCCTGGCCCTTCTTATCAATATTTTGTTAAGGTGAAAAATAGTGAGGTATGTGAATAATTTTTAATTTCAGTGACTCCAGAATGGTGTCTGTGTCAGGTTTATTGTACACTGAGACAAACAAAAGAATTCCATATAGTATGACTGGAAAATTTTGGTTTAATAAGATATTCCATAAGCACAACTTGTGAATGTTTATCGTTCTCCAAGGTGTTTTTTGTAGCCTTAACGCTATTCAATTCCCCAAGCGTCGGTAGACGTGACTGCAAATCATAGCCTCGATAATCTCGACCAGGGTTGCTTCAAAACACTTCGCCGCAACGCGTCCGATCCGGATCTAATGTGCGTTGGCCTTAAGCCTTTTTGAAATTATTCGTATCATCTCGCTCACTTCGCATATTATGCTCACTTCGTTTCGAAGCCGAACATCGAGTTTCATAAGACGAATTATATTCGTGTATTTGGAGCTTTCCGAAGCTCAAGTTCAATCAACCTCAGCGCATACAGGACATAAAGTTATTTCAGCTTCCAGTGATGCCAAACACATTTTTGCGACTTCACACCAAATGAAGGTTTATCAAATCTACATTTAATTACTACCATGTCAAAGATACTACATTCTTCCCTTTCTCTACTCAATTAATTAAAGTATATTAATTTCAAAATATGTACCGGCCAGTCTTCAAACTCCATTTATGTGAATATCATACTAAGTTATCCTAGTTACCATATTACACAATTCTCATTAATACACTGTAGAATATACTCATAAATGTTTAATTTTTTTATTATTATTATTATTATTATTATTATTATTATTATTATTTCCTGCCGTAATAATAAATACCTGCAGAATAGTCGCGAAGAGAGCAAAATGGAACGTCAAATGCAGCTAGACGGCTGCTGTCACGAACTGTCATTGGGAGCCAAGCAAATTTATTTTCTTACAGTTGAACAAAAATACAAAACGTGGTATTGAAATCTTGCGTAAAGTAATCTTTGACAAACTGTTGTGTCCAGCTATTGTACAGAATGGGACACAGTTTTTTTTTTTTTTTTTTTTTTTTTTATTGGGTATCAAGCTGGAGCTGCGTGACAGCTTAGTTTTCAAGACTTGACCCATTTGAATAAAATTTGCTTCTATCTTTGACAATACAGCAGAAGGACTAGCCTATGTTGGCCGCTTGAACACTGGATTCCGTATGTATTGTTTCAAGATAGTTATAGAAAATATGCTGTGATGTGTGCGCGTAGATACATTCGCTTAGTAAACCGATTGAATAAGTAAATCAGTTTCGAACGAAATAGAGGAATTTACGTATTCTCGGCAACCTAAGCAGCGACCTTCTTTCTATAGCCTTTTTCTCTAAGGAACGCACACATATGCAGTATTGGTTTGTTTGCAATCTTTTGCTGCCATCTGCTCTAACAATTTCAGTCGAAAGAATTGTCAAAAACTGTTTTGAAACGCTTTTACAAAGCTCCAATCTTCTCTAGTGAGAGCGAGTATTGTCGGCAACCAGTTTTTCTTCGGCAACCGTTCCATTTGAACTGCATGTAAATCTGCTGTTCTATTATCGGCAACTTGAAATCAGCTACAATTTGTAGTGCGTGTGTTGCATTTCAAGAAAACCTTACTAGATTGCTTTTTCTCAGTGATAAAAATATAGTCAAATTGAAGCTGAAAGCATAAAGAATCGTTTGCATGCATTCAGCGAAGTGTTTTCGTAAGAAAATCCAGTGAAAATAGTGTTTCAATTTGTGTTGCCGAAAATAGTCTGTCATGCCGAAGCCGTCATTTCCCCTATCTAAATTATGTAAGTTTCGAAAACAGCGCGAATTCCGATAGCCGTGCGAGACAACCGAAGCGAGAAAAAAGGATTATTATCATTTAAAGAGTGCCACCAAAATAAATGTGATAGCCTATGTTGGCAAGTTGATTAATTTTGGTTTCCTCCCTAGATATTCTACTTATTTACTACTGAGCTTTGTATCAAATTAGTTAATTTAAAGAACGTATCAATCATTTCAAGATTTCGCGACCGCACCGAAAAAAATCTATACTACATAAGCTCAAAGCGTTTGACAAGCTCTTCCGAATTACGTATCACTTCTGCGTAAGCTCCGTAGACGTAGGCGCGTTGAATCCGACAGTCGTCAAAGGTTTAACCTGTACGAACATCGCTTAAGGAACGACCTTGAGTCAGTAAAACCGTTTAGAGCTAAACATCTAAATTACGTAAGATACGAAAATCGCGCAAATTGTGAACGCCACGCGAAATAACCGTAGAGAAAAAACAGCTTATTATCAATTAAAGAGTGCCACCAATATAAATGTGATAGCCTATGTTGGCAAGTTTGGTTTTATACTATTAAGATATAGCAAGATTAATTTTGGTTTCCTCCCTAAATATTCTACTTATTTTACTGTTGAGCATTGTTTCAATTTAGTTATTTTACCGCACGTATCAATCATTTCAAGATTTCGCGACCGTACCGAACAAATTCTATACTACAGAAGCTCAAAAAGCTTTTGGTGAGCTCTACCGCATTGCGAATCACTTCTCTGCGTAAGCTCCGTAGACGTAGGCGTGTTGATTCCGACAGCCGCGAAAAGTTAAACATGCATCAATACCACATAAGGAAAGATCGATTTTACGTATGGTTTTAGATCATAGATTAACATTGACTGCTGTTTAAAAATGTAAGTACTTAAACACTAAGAAATAAGTTAACTCAAATGCTTTAACTGCATATATAAGAGATTTCGCGTATTCAGAGAATAATATAGTAATCGAGTACAACAAACTCAGGGGAATACAATACCTCCAAAAGTTTAAAAGTTATTAATTGTCACATACCTCTACTTTTACTTATTTCCTAAACTCCTTGTTAATCTGCTTAATTCTATTGGTCTGCTTGCGTTTTCTTATTAAAGTTCAAGACTAAATAAGAAGATTTATTCTACAATTTTAAAGGTAAGTTGCCTGCCTAAGCTGACCCCCGCATCCTAATTCTTTTGTTAATCTACCTAATGTGATTAGACTTTCTTAAGTTCATTTGATGATTATGATATCTCGTTAGTCTAATTTAATAAATTATTAAAAGCTATAATTCACCTAATCAATCATAACCCGAGCCTTATTAACCCTCCGTTACTCGCGCCAACTTTCATAACACGAGTACTCGCGCGTTGTACTTTGTACAACAGTGTGAGTTTTCCATTGCCATTTTGCAGTCGAGCTACCAATCGATATGAAACCAACGGGTATTCATTAAAAAACTTGTTTTTAACTAAACAAGCTAAAATTTTATCACAGTTAACCCACAAAAATGCGGATAATAGAGAAAATCTGAATGGAAACCGCGTAAACGGTGTCCGTACTACGTAGGATTTGACTTAATTGGTTACAACATGGAAAATCTCGAGATAGAAAATTACTGTCTTCGGCAAAGTTGTTCTAGAGATCATAATCTTTTTGCTGGTGGAGAGTAGTTCAGAATTTTCTCACTATGTAGCGCTAGAATACATGTGATATATCCCGAGATTATGACCAGATAGAAAATTACTGTCGTCGACAAAGTTGTTCAGAAGGTCAAGGCTTTTTCGTTGGTGGACAGTAGTTCAGCGTTTTCTCACTTCGCGGCATTAGTATACATGTAAAGTTTTTCAGGAAGTCCAGATCTTTTCGTTGGTGGAGTAGTTCAGAAAATTCTCACTACGTGACTTTAGTATATACATGCAATTTTCGCATATACAATAGCTCGAGATCCTGAGCAGAGAGAAGTTACTGTCTTCGGCAAACTTGTTCAGCGTGTCAAGTAGTTTTGGCTGGTGGACAGTAGTTCAGAATTTTCTCACTACACAGCCCTAGTATAAACGTGAAATTTTCCCATATAAGATATCTCGAGATTCTGATCAGATAGATTTCTCTAGTGGACAGTAGTTCAAAATTCTCGCATATATAAAATATTTCTAGATCCTTCCCATATAAAAAGTTACTGTCTTCAGCAAAGTTTTTCTGGAAGTCCAGATCTTTTCGTTGGTGGAGTAGTTCAGAAAATTCTCACTACGTGGCTTTAGTATACACATGCAATTCTCGCATATACAATAGCTCGAGATCCAGATGAGCAGATAGAAAGTTACTGTTTTCGGCAAACTTGTTCAGGGGGTCAAGACTTTTTGGCTGGTGGACAGTAGCCTAGAAATGTTTCACCACATAGCGCTAGTAAACGTGTACAATTCTCGCGTATGCCAAGCTTGAGATTCTGAACAGGTAGAAAATTACTGTCTTCGAAAAAAATGTTCATGAGGTCAATGCCTATTGCTTGGTGCACAATAGTTCAGAATTTTCACACTACGTGGTGCTAGTATACACGCGAAATTCTCGCATATAAGATATCTCGAGATTCTGATCAGATAGATTTCTCTAGTGGACAGTAGTTCAAAATTTTCTCACTACGTAGCGCTAGAATACACGTGAAATTCTCGCATGTGGTTTGTTTCGAGATCCTGACCAGATAGAAAGTTACTGTCTTCGACAAAGTTGTTCAGGAGGTCAAAGCATTTTTGGCTGGTAAACAGTAGTTAAGAATTTTCTCACCACGTGGCATAGATGTACACCTCTCGCATATGC